TCAATTTCAATCAATATTGAAGTAATCGAAGAAAAAATTGATATTTTTCGAAGCTTAAAATTGGAAATTCAATGAAAATTTTTTTTCCAATTAGATAATCATGGTAATTTTCCACGGAAAATTTCCTTTTAAAAAATCTTTCCCGAAAACTTTCCCAGGAAAATAAATTTTCAAGAATTAATCATTTCATTTTGTTTCAATCAATTCCATACATCATCATCATCATCATCATGTGATGTATTTCATCATCATCATCATCAAATAACTTTTACGGGAATTTTCTTTTTTTTTCATTTCAGAATTTATTTTATTTTTGGTAAAGTTTTTTGAAAAATAAAAGATCAAACAAAAATAAATGAAATGATGAAAACTTTTCCGCTTTAATATTATTTACTTTTTTTGTTTCTTCGAAAGTTTAAGAATGATAATATTATTATCGGCTTTCCGAAAAATTTCTCTTTACTTTTTGTTCTTAATAACTAACTTAATTTTTTTTTTGTTGTTTCAAAAAAAAATTTGAACAAATATCTTTAACTAACTAAGAAAAATTTCTGTAAACATTTTTTTTGGCTGTAAACACGGATGATAACATGATTAGATTGATTGATTGAATTGTGATATGATCAATTCAGCGATAAGCAGCAGCAACAACGGTCATCAAATCCGGCAAGAAAAACATATTTTTTCTTAGAAAACTTTTTTTAAATGTTCAATTTTTACAACAGAATTTGTAAGTATTTAAGTAGGTCGATCTTGTGCGAAATTGAGAAATTTCCCTGAAAGGATGAAAGCAAAAGAAAAAAAACAATCCATCTCGATCTACTTAATTTTTTTCGTTTCTGTTTTTTGAAAGTAAAAATAATGTCGGTAAGTTACGCGCGTAACTGAGTTACGTAACTACTTTTTTTTTGGTGTCGATTCAGCAAAAAATTATTACTGCTACATGTAATAACAATATTGGATAATAATAATTCCAAAAGTAAAAGTAATAAGTCAAAATAAAAGTAAAAGTAAGTCGAAAAGAAAGAAAAAAACGAAAATAAAGATGATTTGATCGAAGAAAAAAACACAGAGAGAATCAAGAATAAAGTAAAAGTCAATTCGGCATGTCTTTTTTTTTTTGAAAAAAGTAATAAGTTTTTCTTGATTCGTTACTTCTCTTCTCGGTGTGCTATGTAAGGTGATGAAAACGGGTTTTTTTGGTTTGATGATTTGGTTGTTTTGGCTTCGTTATTCTTTGAAGAATATGATACAAATATTTTTTTTTGTAAAGGGATTTCCATTGGGAAAATGAAAACAAAAAGAATGTTCGAATTCGGAAGATTTTTTCGTTGTTTGAAACATTATTTGCCATCTTTCATCGTTTGGTATTTCAGTTTATATTCTGTGTTGAGAATTTCAAATTTGAATTTTCTTTTTTTTTCACTGAATTTTGTTTCTGTTTGCATATTTTTTGTTTTATTTTGACTTTTTCTTTTCATTCACTTGCTTTCTGACGGCGGCTCATTTTATTTTCGTTGTTCATTGAACAAAAAAAAACGCCGAAAATTTTGATAAAATGTAAAAAGTCAAACAGAATTTGCTTAAATGATCAACGGGGAAATATTTCGGTAAAAAAAATGGGAAATATTCCGGGAAACAATTGAAAAAACATACCGGACTCTGGCTGTAATGGTTCACCATTGAATAACCATGTAATTGGTGTTGTTGGTAATGGATTTGAATCAATATGACAATCAAAATAAATATCGATTCCTTCCTGTATTGAATCCAATGATAATGATGGTGCACCTAATTTTAATTCCATTTGTGGTGGATCTATATTGATTAATTGAAATAATAAAAGCAAAGAATAAGAATTTTCAAAAAGATAAATAAAAAAAATTATTCAAGAAAATCATTCCAAAAAAACAAAATAAAAATCGAGAAAATTTCCCAGAAATATATGATGATGATAACCAGAGATTTGATTGTAAAAACTATTAGAAAAAAAAATGACCACCAGGTTCAAACTTGAACCAGGTCTTCTTTTTTTTACTAAATTAGCTTAGTGGCTAAAATGGAAATACAACGACAACAAAATGATACCAAACAAACAAACAAACAAAACATCATTTAATGGGTAATAATGATTGTTTTATCATTAGGCAAACGAAGAGAAAAAAAATATATGGATGATGTTTCGAAAACATAATTTCTATGATGATAATAAACACTCAGGATCCATTCGGAAAGAGAGAGAGAGAGAGAGAGAGCAAGCCATTCTATAATTCATCTGGAATCATCATATTTTATCAAATCATAAAAACATAATGAATGAAACAAAAAACGAAAACTAAACTAAATAAAATGAATGAATGAATGAAAATTTTACGCTAAATTAATTTCAAACATTTTTTTTTTCTCTATCTGTTTTTGCTGTTTGCTTGGTTGTTTGTTTGTTTGTCTGTTGTATTTTGTTACATATAAATATTGTCTTGAATTTCTCTTTTTTGTGGATATTCTGTGAGTGTGTTTTTTCTTTTCACCAGAATCACCAGTGATAATGATAATGATGATGATTTTCGTACGAAAAATGTACATTCATTTTTTTCTTCTTTTTTTGCTTGACTTTTTCAAGTTTCTGTTATAAGTTTTTATTCTCCAAATAATCATTATGATCATCATGATTTGCTTGCATTCTTTTTTTTCTAATGATATTCAACAACAACAACAACAAAAACAACAACAACAACAAACAGATTTCGTTTAGATATTTTTTTCATATAACCGGCTAATGATGATGATTTACAAATGATGATGATTATGGTAGTGTAAAGGTTAATGAAGCTAATTTTTTTTTCTGTTTTGATTTTTTTTTCTGATCGGAAAATTTCTGGGAAAGGTTTTTTTTTGTTTAAAAAAAATTCTGAAAAGTTTCCCAAACAAAATTTTTCAAAATCAATTGATTCGATTGATTGATTGAATCAATAAATTTTTCCACGATAAAGACACTACTATCCATTCTTCCACCAAAAAATACAACAGCAAAAAGAAAATCTGAAAAAAAAGCTGAAAAAAAATGAAAATTAAGAAATAATGATGATGATGATGATGGTTAGAAAAAAGCCATGACTGCCATTTTTTGTTGAATTCCATTTCAAGGATCGATTCACAAACACACACAACAAACACACACTATACATGGGCAAAGACAATGGAGAAGATCTCAAGATTATTGAACCAAGATTTTTTTTTGTTTTGTTTTGAAAAAAAATTTATGATAAATGATTGAATCGATTCCAAGATGGTAAAGATTCAAGAAAACGACGGCCATTGAAAACAATAATAAAGTCTGAATATGAAAGAATCTTCTTCTTCGACGAAACAACAACAACAACAAAAAAGACATTATGAATTTTTTCGGTTTACCCAAAATATAAATGGTTCAGCGTTTTTTTTTGGGGGGTTAGAAAATTCCACAAAGTGAGTGATAATCGGTTAAGGTCGTTAACTTTTTGTTGGTTTTTTTTTTGGTTTTTCTAGACCAGAAATATTTGCTTAAAAAAAATTTCCTTCCAATAATAACCCGCAACCAATATAACAATGGGAGCGAAATCAAAAATCAAAAATAAAAATGAAAAACTGAAAAAAACTGCAAAATAAATGACCATCGTATTTTTTTACGAAATAAATTGAAATTTACCAGGCAGACAATGCAAAAAATTGGCCAATTTTGATGCAAATTGTTTTTTGGGGGTCCGAAAAAAAATTCAAAAGAAATTTTCCCTGGAAAATTTCACTTGCATTGTTAATAAATGAATCGAATATGAGTCAATAAAAGCAAGGAATCGAACAAGGAATATTCTCTGTCTGTGTTCTCTCTTTCCTTGAACAAATAAATAAATAAATTTCCAATAATAATTCTGGATTCTGGATTCTTGATATTCTACAGAAGCAAAAAAGTTATTTAAGGGAAAAAAAGTAATTCCATTTCAGTTGGAAAAATCGTGATCAAAAAAAAAAAATATGACGAAATAATTCTTGAGAATAGAAAAAAAGCCAAAAAAAATGAAAATTTAACACAATGGAATTCATTCATATTTGAAGCGTAAAATATGTGTTTAAATGGCCTTCGATGATGATCACATCGTTGTCGTTGATGATGATGATGATTGTTGATGATCATTGTTGTTGTTGTTGTTGCCAATTACCAGTAAACTTTCTCGGGTTTTTTTCATATTTTCTCTATCTATCTGTATAGCATCTATCCTAGACACAATCATCATCATCATTATTTTTCTGGTAACAATAAAGTGATGATTTTGGAGCATCACCCAGCACAAAGCAGCAGCAGAAGAAGAAAATTGACAAAATAAAGAAATTTTTGGAAAATGAGAAATAAAGATATTATCATTGTCAATATGATTATTGTTGTACCAAATTGGAAAAAATGAGTAAATAAAAAATGAATTTAACACAGAATGATGTTTGTGGGACATTTTTTTTTTTGCTCGATCATTTTCTTGAAATTTTGAATCAAATTCAAAAACAAATTCCCAAATTATCCAAAATCGATTTTCCAAATTGATCTTTCCTTCGATTTACGAATATTATTCTGTTGTTTTTTTTGAAAAGGGGGAATCAATCAAACGCTTGTTCAGCAAAAAACCTGAAGAAAAAGCCTAAACAACAACATTGTTTCAAATTGTCTTGATAATCATTATCAAGTCATTGAACAAACAAACAAACAAACAAACAAACAAACAAACAAACAAACGATAATCATTTTATGATGATTGAAAATCCATAATATTCATAATATTGATATTGTTCATAAGTTTCAATCATCAATATTCTCTCTCTCTCTCTCTCTCTCTCTCTCTCTCTCTCTCTCTTTCTCTCCATACTTCGAAGAGAAGAAAGTCAAATGATAATCATAAATAAAAAATGGATTTCCNAACAAACAAACAAACAAACGATAATCATTTTATGATGATTGAAAATCCATAATATTCATAATATTGATATTGTTCATAAGTTTCAATCATCAATATTCTCTCTCTCTCTCTCTCTCTCTCTCTCTCTCTCTCTCTCCATATTTCGCAGAGAAAAAAGTCAAATGATAATCATAAATAAAAAATGGATTTCCAACCAACCAAACTGAAAATGTAAACGATACATTTCAATTTTTTTTTCTTCAAATTCTTTCTCTATTTTTTTTTGCTTTGGAAATAGAATATATACATTACTCAGCAGAAAAAAAGTGGAGAAAAATATTCTTCTTCATCACATCACATCACTTCTTTGGAATCATTATCATCATTCGACAAAAAAAAAATATCAAATAATAATAAAGTTATCATCATCATCATCATCATGTCATGTATAAACAAAATGAAAAACAACAACAACAACAAAAAGACAACAACAACAACAACAACAACTCTAATGGATCTTCACATCTTTACATCATCATCATCTTATGGATTCTTACGAAAAGTAACAAGGATAACTAACTAAAACTGAACTGAAGAGAGAGAGAAAAAAAGTTGAAAGTTTTTTTTTTGTTCTTCGGAAAGTTTTCGAAAACTTTTGGTATACTTCATTTTCTTATTTCTTCGGTAGTTGATTGAAAATAAAACATCTTTTTTGTTGTTGTTGTTTCAGTTAAAATAGCTTAATGGCTATTTTGAATGACAATCATTTATTTTTTTTGTGGGGGGAGTTAAAATAGCCACATTCAAAAAATAATAATTCATCTAATAAAATGGTCAGAATTCTTTTCTTGTTGCTCGGAAATTTTCTTTCAACGAAAACCTTGGACACCTTTTAACCAGTGCTTGGTGCGTTCCATTGAAATGTCCTCGAGCTGTATAAACAACGAAGAAGAAAATAGTAAGTAAGTAAGTAAATTCTTTTGAAATGAAAAAGATAAACAATAACAACAACAACAACAACAACCAAAAAGAAAGTAAAATTCAATGTATGCATGGTGTTTTCCATTGGATTACAACATCATCAACAACATTTGATGATTGCCTAGAAGGGATGCTATAGCCAAAAAATGAAAAACTAACTTAACAACTGTAAGGAGAAAAGGAGAAAGAATCTTGCAGAAAGAACTGACCAAAAAAGAAAAGAATGAATAATGAAATGTCCAGTGTTAGGATTTGTTATTTTAAAAGAGATTCTTTTAAGAAACATTAGAAATAAAAGTGATAAATGAGCCACCAAAAAAACATGATTATGATCGATTCTTGTTGTTTGATTTTTAATTTATTTTTTTCGGGTTTTTTTAGGTTTTAAAAAAATAAAGAATATGGAATTGAAAAGAATCACAAAGAAGATAAAAATGGAAAATAAAAAATTCATCACCACCGTCATATATCAACAGAATTGGATTTCTGATAGAAATTCAGGTAAGGAAGAAAGAAAGAAAGGAAAAAAAATCAATTATTTTCACACGAAAAAAAGATTGAAAAAATTTTTCAGGTAATTTTTCATCATCATCATCGTGAAGAAATTGTCCGGAAATTTCTGGCTTTTACCAAATGAAAAAAAAACAAACATTCAAATGACAAATGATCTGGTTGTTGTTTGGCGCCATTAAAAAAAACATATGAAAAAACAAAGCAAAACAAAACAAACAAAACTTACATTGAACATCGATAATCAATTGATCACGTATAGCTGAATTTGGTATACGTAAATTTTCCGTTATACATTCAATAATCAATCCACGATGATGTCGCTCTAAGCGTATTGTTATTGTACTGCTTGTTTGTTGTTCACCTGGTTAAATGGTTTGGTTTAATGGTTTTTTTTTTAATAAAAAAAGAAGAAAAACGAAATTAGAAAAAAATAATGGTTAGTTTTTCCAAAAGAAAATTCAATAACAGAATAAGTTTGTTTTTTTTGGTTGCTGACCATGCGAGAGGGCGCCACTTTACATCAAATTTCAACATGATTCAATGAATTTGAATCTGGTGAAATCGTGATTATCATTTTCAAGTGGAAATTTTCCCAGAAAAAAAAACAAAACGAAAAACACGCCCATTCACAAATAAAGTGAAACAGTAACCAAAAAAAAAATTATTCAATTTTCAAACAATGTAATGACAAATATAAAAAAATTTGAATAATAAGCATACGAATTTCTCGGAACGGAAATCTCGGTTATTAATTTTTTTCATCAAACGGGTAAGTTAGTCGGTAATTAATTAATGATTGAATGAAAAGACCCGTCTAATAAATGCTGCTGGATTCAATGCTTTTTTTTCACTGATCTATCGACCTGTGTAACATGACATTATCTTCATCAAATGAAAAACAACGACGACGACTACGATGGTCATTTCTGCTTTTGAATTATTTATAAACCTTTCCTTGATTCAATCATCATCATCATTAAAAAACTGTATTTGAAATGGATTTTTTTGATTTAAAATTTTAAAATTTCTTTGATAAAATCTCAAAATCTCATGGATTCTCATAAATGAAATCAATCTTGAATTTTCTGTATTAAATGGAGAAAATTTCCGAAAAGCAAGAGAATAGTTTACGAAAAGTAAAATAATAATGGCTGATTAATTTTCCATTGGTTTTCAATCCACTCAGTAGAAAATCTTTTGAAATGTTTTTTTTGTCTGTTTTGTTTTAGTTAATTGTTATTAATGAATTATCATTTGGATGAAAATAGTTTAGTGTCTATCTCTCTCTGTGTGTGTGTGCTAGTTTGTATCAATCACTTTTCACAACAACGAGAAAAAAACGATTATTTTCAATGAATTTTGAATTAGAAAACTCTGAATTCAAAAGTCGATTTTTTTTTGTCGAATGTCAAATATTCTTCGTTTGATTCGTTCGTTTTGTTTCAAAATATTCTTTGGTTCTCAATTTCATTTCTCTCTCTCTCTCTCTCTCTCTCTCTCTCTCTCTCTCTTTCTCTCTCTTGCTTGCGAAACAAAATGAAATTAAATGAACCGACTGATTTACTTTATCTTTCGCTTATAGAACATAGAAGAAAAAAAAGGAAACAGAAAAAAAAATCAGAAGCTTTTCTCAAAATCAAACATTCTCATTTTCGATTCCTTTGCTTTTAATCAATCTCTATTTCTAATCTTGTTTTTTTTTACTGTTTCGTTTCTTGATTCTCAAACAAACTTTCATTCTGTTTTTTTTTGTTTTTCGTTTCGCTCACTCGGAATTTTCGTTTCAAAAATTTGGATTCCAACGAAATGAACATAAGTTTTTCTTCCCCACCATATCCCCACCATCTTCAACTTTTCTTGTTGTTGTTTTTTCTTGGCTGTCAATCCACCCCACACATTCATTAAATTGAATTAAACATTAAATGATTTTCATTTCTTCGAATAACATCACCGAAAATTACTTTCCCTCCAATCTTTTTCTCTGTGTGTTTTCCATAGGTACAACAGAGCAAAGAAGAAGAAAAAATGTTTCAAAAAAAGTACATCACTGATGCTAATGCTGATAATAATTATTATTATTTTTGAATCAATTTTTCTGAAAATCTTTTTGTTTTTCTTTTAATTTTCAACAAAATTCAATGAAAATTCAAATTTTTAAATTTCAAATTTTCAAGTAGAAAAAATCAATGGAAATTTTTTTTTTGTTCCGGAATCGATTTTTCATTCGTTTGTTCGTTGATTGAGATGGTGGATGAGAATGGAAAGATAATTGTCTGTCTGTGTGTCTGGTTGGTTGGCTGGTTGATTTGATAATGATGAGCAAGGAAAGAATTTGAATCAAATTAAGGGTTAAAATTAAATTAATTGATAATAAAAATGATCAATCTTGAGACTTATTTTTTCATTGTTGAAAAAGGGGTTAACAAAATGTAAATTTCGATGAATGGTTTTCAGTGGTGGTGGTGGTGGTGGTGGTTTTTTTATTGATTTTGTCATTTTTCTGTTTTGCGAAACCAAAAAAAAAAAAAATTCTTTCAGAAATATTCTGACAGAATTTTGCCAAAAATTCTTATGATGATGCTTTGTCTGTGCCTTTTGTTTCGTTTCCAGAATAATTTGTCAAACGACAATAATAATAAAAAACGAAGTTTTCTAGTTTAGATAATTAGACAGGAATTTTCCGCGGAAAGAGAAATAAGGATTTCCATAAAAGTTTCCAAATCTAAGAAAAAAAACGTCTAGACAAGGTGAATGAACGAACAATTTTCTTACGTTACGTTTTGCTAATTTACTGATGATGATGATGATGATTTTGTCGTTGTCCAAACAACCAAAACGGTAATCGGATAGCAGACAGAAAGAATAAGTGGAATTGCAATCAAACAAACAATCAGGAAGAATGAAGAACCAAAAAAATGAATAAACTTTTGAAATTCTTAGGTCGAAAGAAAATTTCCGAAAAAAATTTTCCTGTTTTTTTTTGTAAAATTTTCCAAATAGTAAAATCATCAAGTGGAAAATTAATTAAAACAACAACAACAACCAAAAAAAAAATTTGTAATCAAAGATTAAAATGTCGTATTAACAACAACAACAACAACAACAATGATAATGTTTTTGTAATTGATTTCAAGTTTTGTTGTTGTTATAACATTTTATGATTGAATCGAAATAAGGAAATAACAACAACAACAAATAATAACAACAACAACAACAACAAATAACAACAACAACAACAACAAATAACAACAACAACAACAACAACAGCAAAAAAAAAATTCAATCAACCAAACCAGAAAATCCCAAAACCAAACCAATGAAAGAGAGATGACAATTTTTTCTTTCAATTGTGTATACAACTAAATCGTTGTCAATTCATTCAATTCATTCATTCATTGTTTTGTAACCAGAAAATTGAAACAACCAAAAACAAGGAACAGAAGAAGCTTAGAATAAGAAAAGAAAAGAATAACATTCATTGAAGCTCGAAATTGAAATCGGATATACAGTCGTATATTTTTTCGGGATATGGTCCAGTTTTCATTTTCATTTCGATTTTTTTTTTCAATTCAAAAAATGAATGAATGTTATTACTATATTATTATTCTTGTATTCTGAGGATTCCGGCATCCAGAACCAAAAAAAAAAGTAAGTAAGAAAATGTAAAAACTGATTACACTGAATGGAAAAAGAAATGAGAAGAAGATGAGATGATGAGAATATTCCCCAATGGCATTCACATTCAACAACAACAGTAAAAGCATAAAAATCCCTTCTTATTTGAATTCAATTGAAAATAATAAAGATGTTATATGTAATGTTGTCGCTGGTGTGTTGGTGGTGGTGGACACAACATTGAATAAGACATGTTTCCTATATGACGAAGAAGAGAAGAAAATAATCAAACAAACAAACAGGCAAACTATTTGGATTATTATTTCGGTTGGTTGTATATCTGGTTTTCTTTTCGTTTGTTTTCTTTCTTTCCTGGATAGGGGTTTTTTGTAAGTAGAAAATTCCAGATGAATTCGATTCTGTAGATGAAACGAAACACAAACACACACAACAGATCAGATCAGATTATCTTTGTCGTTCAATCATCATCATCATTGTTGTTGTTGTTGTTTTTTGGTTGTTCACAATGATCACACATGTATGTGAAACTAAGTGAACCAAAAAAAACAAAAAAAAACTTTGTAAAGAAGATTTTAATAAGCAAAGAAAAACGTAATAAGGATAAGTGAAAATTGCAATGAATAGAAATGAACCAGAACCGGAAAAAAAGTAAATTCTAGATTTGACCGATGGGGGTTCTGACTGGAATGACAACATTTTCGGTGTTAAACATAGGAATCAGACCAGAAGTTGTTTTTCATGATTCTGGAAAATTTTTCTGGCTTGCAGGTTTAATTTTTGGCATTTTTGGCTTTCAAGCCAAAAATAAGCATGAAAAATAATTCATTACCCCTTGTAATCAAATCAATTGATAGAGTTATCTTGTTTTGTTTTTTTTGAGATTTTAATTTCAATGAATTCTTGTTGAAAAATAACAAAACAATCAACAAAAAAAACCCGAAAAATCCAAACTAAATAAAAGAAAAAATTGCAAAATAAATAGATTTCTAGTTTATATATGAATGTTAATGAAGAATATTCTGTATTACAAACACCAAACACATTATTTACTCTCTTACTAACTATATGGCATCATCATCAATTTTTCTAAACACGTAAATATACAGCACAACACACACACAAAGAGAATTGGAATGAAAACTTGAAATTTATAGCGTGTGTGTGTGTGTGTGTGTGTTTATAATTCGTTATGCAAGAATTGAAATTGAACAACAACCGAAAACAAACGAACGAACGAATGAAAAAAACGATACAAGAATGATGATGATAATGATAATGATGAAACAGAAAAATCTTTTGGTCCATTATCATTATAGTCATGAATCTGTTTTTTCGAAAAAAAACAGAAACAACGACGATGGACAACGATAATGATAATGGTAAGGGAAAAAACAAAAAATGAAAAAAATGAATAATATTTTTGTCATTTTGCAAAAATGAACAATGAATTTCAAATTGAAAATGAAAATGAAATGAAATTTTTTTTTCCAAAAAAGAATGGATAAATATCTTTGCTGCTGCTTCTGCTTCTGCTTTTGCTGCTGTTTTTGCATTAATAAATTCATTTTTATTGTTTTTTTTTCGTTTTGTTTTGTTTTGTTTGGAGAAAAACATTCCGAAAACAATTTTTGTTTTGTTTTGTTTTTCATAATTTTTTGTTCTTTTCCATGGAAGTTTCCAAAAAAATGCAGATTGGAATTTTGAAATTGGAATTTTTGTTTTTTGTTTTGTTTTGTGCAAATTAAATAATAATGATTATCCAAAGAATTTTTTTTTCTGTTTGTTTGTTTGTTTCCAATTTCCAATCCAGAATCAATTTCATCACCCGCTAAATATTCTGCGATTCTTTATGAACAGAATTTTTTTGTTTTTTTGACAAAAATTTTTTCAGAAGTTTTTCTTGGCTGTTCTGTTTTGACACAATTTCACAATGAAAATGAAATAAATACGATCATAATGCATGTAATGATTGTTATGATTTTTCTTTTTCTGTTGTTTTTCTTTGATTAGGATTGACATTTTTGGCATTTTTCCATTGGTGGTTGTTTTAGTGAAATCAATATTTGAAGAAATCAATATGAATCTTGAAAAAAATGAGTGAGTGAACAGAATAAATTCAAAGAAATCGATATAACATTTAGATATGAATAGTGAATTTTACTTCTCAATGGCAAAGTGGCAATCCAAAAAAAAAACGAAGCAAGAAACGAAAATCTTTGATTCATTTCATTTCCAAGAATTGTTTTTTTCCTTTTTTCTTCTTCTTTTGATGTTTGATTGTTGTCAAAGAAGGAGTTCAAAAGACGAATAAATATTATTTTACTATTTACACTCAATGACTATTTTCACACTTGATTTTAGCATCCCTGTAGAAACCGTCACACATAAATCATATATCGAAATATGTTTGTTATGTACAAAAAATAATGTTAGGCTTGGCCCAAATATAATCTGATATCATTATTATTATTATTATTGAACAACAACAACGACGATCTTGGTAAAATAAACAATGTCATTTTGAAAGTAAAGTAAAGTAAAGAACGAAAAAAATAAAGTAAAAAAAAAGATGCATTCTTCTTCTTCTTGATTCTTGTTGTTGTTGTTGTTGCTGCCAAAATAAAATGCAAATATTCAACCAAACAAACAAATAATAATGGCTAGAGAGAGAGAGAGAGAGAGAGAGAGAGAGNACCTAAAAAAACAAGAATGATGATGATGATGATGATTATGACCAAAGAATTTTTCCTATCAATAATTCCGATTTATTTTTTTTTGATTCTTTTTCCTTTCAAAGAAAAAAAAATAAAAGAAAAAATAACTAGATCTTATCGATTGTCATATCCACACACACACACACACACACCATTTACATTGTTCATATTTGACAGTTTCTCTCTCTCACTCTCTCTCTCTCTCTCTCTCTCTCTCTCTCTCTCTTGAATCATTAAAATCAACGGAAAAATGTGTTTGTCGTTTGATAAACACATGAATCCAGGAAAAAAAAGAAAATCAGAAAATCAAAAACAGAAATCTTGAATATCATTTTTTGGCAACAAAAAAAAATGAGAGAAAAAAAAACGTCCATAAAAATAGGTCATTTTTTTTGGAACAACGAAAAATATTCATTTTCTGGTTACCGGCCAACCGAAAAGATAAATGAAATTTTTCAAAATATCCAACGTTTTGTATCCAATATTTTGACATTTTCAGAAGGATTTTTTTTTTTGCTTCCAAATAAAGTGTGTGTGTTGGAGATGGGTAGCAGCAAAAAAAAAATGGATGCTAAACATGAAGAAAATTTTTTTTTTAGCATATTCATTTCATTTCCATAGAAACATATTGAGATATTGAGAATGTTTGTGTGTGTGTTGATTTGTCAGTAATATCAGAATTTGAAAGAATTTAATTTACAGAATTTATTAATCCAATTTTTTAAAAAAATGTAACCAAGCAAAAATTTCGTATAAAAATAAACATGAAGAATGGAACCTGTGTGTATTCCATTTGTTTTGTTTTCTTTCAAACATCAGGAATATTCTTCAAAATCAACATCAATAGAAGTAGCAAAAAAGCAGAAATATTCATCATTTGTCTTCATATAATTCATCTTTGTTTTCTGACTTTTGAAAATTTCTTCTGGAAAAAAATTCATCATCAATTTTCTTCAGTTGTTGTTGTTTGATCCATTTTCGTTTGTTGCAGAATAACAACAACAACAACAACAACAAGCAACGACAACAACAAAAGAAGACGAACAAAACAAAAAAAAAACGATAGATGAGTGAATCGGGAATAAACTAACTGAGAATTCAATGATTGAATATTCTACAGGAGAATTTTTTTTCTATTTAAAAATTATTTTTCATTGCCAAAACATTATCATCACTTTTCAAACACCCAACTAATGGATCGTGTTTTATTAACACACACTCGCACTCTCTATGAATATCTTTTGACACTTTTTTCTTATCATTATTAATATTTATTTGATTTTTTTTATTTTGCTTGGTTTTTAATTTTCTTAATTGAATCTTAAATATGTGTGTGTCTGAAGAAAAAGTATAAGAAAACAAAAAAAAATGAAAATGAAAATGAAATGTTGTTGATTGAGAGAAAATGAATGAATGAAGCAATCATCTTAACGTAAAACTTAAACTTGAATGGAAAAAGTAGAAAGAAAAAAAACGAAATTCATTTTATCATTATTATTAAAACATCGATCGATCGATCGATTGATTGATAACACTCTTGAGATCAATCTATATGATTATGATGATAGTAGTGTCCCATGATATTATTTTAATATTTTTTTTTTGTTTGTTGTTGTTGTTGTTGCATTTGTTGTTGTTGTTGTTGTTTTTGAAGCAAAAAAAAAATATTCAAAGATAATGTATTCTGGGTGTCGATGATGATGGTGTTCCAGAATATTCTCATGGAATATTTGAGCAAAGAAAAAAGAATTGTGACTAAAAAAAGCAGAATAACCAAAAAAATGTCAAAAGTTTAAATTCCTGTTGGACCAAAAAATAAACAAGTTTATATGTGGAAAAGTATTTTATTTTATTTTTTTCATCATTTTCCTGGATGAAAAAAAATACAAAAAAAGATAATGATGTCTATCCATGTTTTTTTTTTTTTTTTTTTTTTTTTTTTTTTTTTTTTTTTTTTGGTCCAAAAATGTCAATATTTAAACAAACCAGATAATATTACCGGGTTTTTCAATGAAGAATTTTACTTTTACTTTAGTGTTTTTTCCACCATTATTTATTCAATATATACTTGATGATATTTATACAATATTTATTTCTACAACCACCACCACCACCACCACCGCCATAATCATCATCATCATTCGAAAACATTATTCATTTTGGTGATATATTTCGACCAATTTCAATTGAATGTTTATTTCAATTGAAATGCGGAAGCAATTGATAAAACATCATCA